GATTGTTGATTCTCTGTTTGGCTTAGTTTTTCGGATCTTTGTTGTGGAGGGACGGCGTGGTGCTTCTGCCTAGACCGCCATCTTGCCGGAGTCCCTGGTCTTTGGTCCATTTTGAGTTAGTTTTTGTGTATAGTTGAGGTATAGGTCCTGTTTCCTTTTCTTAGAGATGGACATCCACTTTTGCCAGCACCATTTGTTATAAAGACTGTGTTTTCCCCCATTCAATGAAATTTGGTCCTTTGTCAAAGATCAGCTGACCATAGGTGAATAGATTTACGTCTGGGTTCTTAATTCTGTTCCATTGGTCTGTGCGTCTGTCGTTGTACCAGTACCAAGCTGTTTGGACTACCATTGCTGTATAGTAGGTTCTTAGATGAGGTAGTGTGAGGCCTCTTACTTTTTTCTTTTTCTTCAGTAATCCTTTGCTTCTTCGGTCCTCTTTCCTTCCCATATAAAGTTAGTGATTAGTTTTTCCATCTCATTAAAGAATGCTGTTTGTATTTGGATCAAGATTGCATTATATCTGTAGGTTGCTTTGGGTAGAATTGACATTTTCACAGTGGTGAGTCTTCCGATCCGTGAGCACGGTATGTTTTTCCGTTTATGTAGGCGTCTTTTGGTTTCTTGCAATAGTTTTTTGTAGTTTTCTTTGTATAATTCTTTTACATCCCTGGTCAGATTTATTCCTAAGTGTTCCATCTTTTTAGGGGCTATTATAAATGGTATTGTTTTCCTAATTTCCTTTCAAAGTTCTCTTTGTTGGTGTATAGGAATCAACTGATTTTTTTATGTTGATCTTGTATCCTGCTACTCTGCTGAATCTTTCTGTTAGTTTCAGTAGTTTTCTTGTGGAATCTTTGGGGTTCTCTGTGTATAGTACCATGTCATCTGTGAACAGGGATAGTTTTACTTCTTCCCTTCAAATCTGGATACCCTTTATTTCTTTTCTTTGCCTTATTGCTGTAGCTAGGACTTCCAACACAATGTTAAATAGAAGTGGTGATAAAGGGCATCCTTGTGTTCCCATTCTCAGGGGGAATGCTTTCAGCCTCTCTCCATTGAGAATGACATTGGATGTTGGTCTCGTATAGATGCCCTTTATTCTTTTGAGGAATTTCCGTTCTATTCTTGTTTTATGGAGAGTTTTTATCAGAAATGGGTGTTGTACTTTATCAAATGCCTTTTCTGTGTTGATTGAGATGATCATGTGATTCTTTTCTTTTGTTCTGTTTATATGACGGATTTTGTTGATTGATTTTCCAATGTCAAACTATCCTTGCATACCTGGTATTAATCCCACTTGGTTGTGTATTTTTTTTTTATATGATGCTGAATTCTGTTCACTAGAATTTTTGCATCTGTATCCATGAGAGATATTGGTCTGTAATTTTCTTTTTTAAAATGATGTCTTTGCCTGGCTTTGGTATCAGGGTTTTGCTTGGCTTCGTAGAATGAATTTGGGAGTATTCCTTCCGTTACTATGCTCTGACAGCCTCATTTCTTGTACATATACACAGACATATACATCAAATTTCTCTCCTACCACACTTTGCGTTTCAGAAATTTGGAACCATTTCTGGTTTACCGAAGCGTTTTGCTCTTGTCCCCCTTCAGAGCCTTCATGTACACAACTCCTCGAGCTACTGTGCTCCCCTGTTCTGGTGGACCAGCAGTGTCCTGCCCTCACACAAAGCTCAGCTCAGTCCTGCTTGGTGCGGTCCCCCCGCCCTCTACATCCTCTGCACACTGCCTACCTCCTTTATGGCAGGAGGATGAGCCCATGTATTTGCACCAAGCTGTGAGCTCCTAGAGGGAGAAGGGATCAGCTGCATATCACATTGCTTAGGGCAGTGCTTAAAGAGTTATTAAAACATTTAGTAGGTACCTATTAAGCATTTAGTGAATTCTGATGTAACCAACCTGTAACCCAAAAAAAAACCAAACCCACTGCCGTCGAATTGATTCCAACTCATAGCGACCCTATAGGACAGAGTAGAACTGCCCCATAGAGTTTCCAAGGAGCGGCTGGTGGATTCCAACTGCCAGCCTTTTTTGGTTAGCAGCTGTAGCTCTTAACCACTATGCCTGTAATAAGCTAAAATAATTCTGGCTAGTGCCTGTGACATGGAAAGTGCTGGCTACTTTATTATTCATATGATGCCATTTACATCTCTGATTTAAAGGCTAAATCCCTACCCCTGCCTTATTTTAAATCTTCCATAGTTTGCATCCAGACATCACCACTGATGAGACCTAAGCACCCTGCACATGTACATTTCTAGGTATTCTGTTAGTTGCTTTCTTTCTCTTGAGAATGCTATTCAAACCAGTATGAGGAATAACTGGATAATGGAGTGTATGACATCTTTCCTTTAGAGGAAGACCCCCATTCTCGGGCCTCCCCTTCCTAACACAGGAGTGCTGTCACGGAGACAAGCTTGCCTCATGCTCTGTCCACAGCAGAGGCCACTCTGACCATCGCTGCTCTCTCAGTCCTCTCCAGGTTGAGAAGAACAAGTCTCCCTCCTTAATCCTGAGCAAAGGGCTCCATTTTCTGAGCATGTTGCCTGAATTTTACCAGAATTAAGCCACCAGCCTCTTATTATATCTGCTTCCCTGACTTTGTCCTTTTTTCTAATTTACGTATTACCCTTGTTAAGTATCTCGCCTCTTTTATAGTTAAACCCATTATTTAAGTTTCCTCCTCTTCCTTATTTCTGAAAACAAATTCCTGTTCTGTAATATATGGTAAAAATATGAACATTTATTAGAATATTTGCATTCTTTTTTGTGAAATTACAGTCTTTTGGAGTATTATGTAAATAAAGTGTTAAAATGCTGATTTTCTTAAGAGAACAATTTTTATATGACTATAGTACTTTCACAGGGTAAAACTAAAATTTCTTTATTTAGTCTGTCTATCTCTTTTGAAAATGTCGATATGGCTAAGAAGAAACTCCCTGTTCATACGTTAGATGGTCTGACCCTGAGCTACAAGGTATGTGATTAAATTTTTTATAAGACCGTTGTTTTCTATTAAAATTAAAACATGCAAGTTGTAGGTACTTTCTGTTCCAATTTTCTGGTTTTTGTTTATTTTTTGTTGTGTTTTGTTTTCATAGGTCCCGTGGCCTGTGGACATTGTTATAAGTTTGGAATGTCAAAAAATTTATAATCAGGTGTTCCTTCTTTTATTGCAAATAAAGTGGGCAAAATATAGTCTGGATGTTTTACTATTTGGTGGTAAGATTTTATTTCAAAGATGAAATTATAATTTAATTTTGGTCATGTAAAGAGAGTTTTATAGTCTTTGGTCAGTTTTTATGTATACCCAAATGCCAACATGACATGTATTTATAGCAACAGTTTTACAGATGTCAGAATTAATGTCTCCCAGTGAAATGCTGGGAAATTGCATATACAGTCAGTCTGCAGTGCAATAACTTGATTAGGAATTTAGCCAGAATAAATATTCTTCTTAGGTTCTGCAAAGAATTTTCATGACAAGTTAATGGGACTTGGCGTTTACATTTTTCGTGACAGTGATAATACAGATGGCATGGGGAACTTTTCACCTTCCAAAGACACTGGCGTTGGGATCCCTTGTCTGCCTTCATCAGAGTACTCTTGGCAGTGTCAGTAACCACTCCCATCAGAATTCTCCTTCTTTAGTTGTGGTGAGGGTGACGTCTTAGTAGGTGCTCATTCATTCTTTTATAGAACTGGTTAGTACTGCTGAAAAACCACAGCTTAAAGAAGGACCTTTGCATGAACAAGACAAGAATGCTCAGTTTGGACCACAAAAGGAATCAAAACAACAGATTCATCGGATGTTCCTCTTAAGAGTGAAACTCATGCATTTTGTGAACAGCCTGCACAACTACATCATGACCAGGGTTTGTATCTGTCCACTCCTTCAGTTCTGTTGCCTTATGTACAGTCAGTCATAGAGAAGTACTTGTAAATATATTTATAAATACAGAGGATACCACAGAATACGTGTAGACTATGTAAATACGAAAATAAGGCATATAAAATTTTTTATTATAAAGTAGCAGGGAGAAATATTTCTTTAAACATATCCAGAAGACCACTGGCTTCTTGTGTAGTCTTCCGTGGGTGGGCATCACCAGAGCTACTCTTTTGGAATTACCTTCAGTACTTGGTACATATTCTCTTGAATTCATTTAAATTTCATCAGTGGTGACAGAAGTATCCCTTGAAAATGACTTCAGTTTTTAGAAATGGTCAAATCTCTCAGGCTAGTGTGTGTAAAGAAGAAGGAAGATGCAGCCAGATTACATACTTTTGCTTCTCTTAAAAACGAGGAGTAACTACAAAGTAAATGAAACTATGTTTCTTACACATCTTAAAACCAGTTCTAGAGGAAGTTCTGAAAGAGAAGTTCAGATATTTGAACAGTAGCAGTATTACTGGAGGACAGTACTCATTTGGGTTTTAAATTTTATTTCTAAAAAAAAAAATCTCGTTTGTAGTCATTCTGGTATATAAGTCCTAAAACCTGTCTTGTTTGGATGAAGTAAACATTTGAAGCCTGTGTTTTGGGCATGGTAAAGGCAGCAGAGATGCCCTCTGCTCCCGCACTGCAGTGATGGTTTTCAGAAGGCTAGCCTCAGCCCTGTAGTGCTAAGAGTAAATGGTAGGGCTTTAAGTTTTTTCTTAGTTTGCTTTTAGTTTGCTATTTGAAATCCGTCATGCTTCCTTTAAAAAAAAGACTAATACATGAAAAGTGGAACTTATAGAAACAAATTCGTTGTAATTATTTGTATTATGAGAATAATGCTTATATTTACAACAAATTTACCTGAGCGTTTTTTCTTTTTTAAAATCAAGTTCCTCCATGTGTTTTATATATGGTTCAGTTTACTTGCCTCTCTGCCCCCCAGGAAGAGTGTGCTAGTCCAAAGTGAGGCATTCATTCACTTGTGCAAGTGCATGTTCTAAAGGACTGACCCTCAACATAGTTTTAAGATAAGCACCCGAAGGTCAGCCTTTAAAGAATAGTACTTTATAACTATTGAAGGAAGAATTTGAAAGGAGTAGAAGAGGTTGGTAAAAAGTTCTTTATGTAGCACACAAGTCCCCAGAGAAGAAGTCTGCTGATTAAACTTTTCCTCTTTCTCTTGAAAGATTCTTCACAGTACAGGCCTGGAGTTTCAACATCAAGTCGAGGAAGCCAAGGATTTAGATCAGTTGATTAAAATTCACTATAGATACTTGTCCACCATCCATGATCGATGTCTGCTAAGAGAAAAGGTACATGAGATGTCACCTGGAAACTTGGCTACTGAGGCAGGAAATGATGCTGGGCAAGTGAGGTTTATCTGCTTTGGAATTTTATGATTATTAAGCTTCTATTTTGCAGAATGTTCTTTAAGGAAGGACCAGCTCAAATTTGATTATAAATTTGTGCCACATTACTGGAAATTATATTTAAGAGACACTGATAAGAACTGTGTTATAACAGTCCTATTCCCTCTCCGCTCACTCTGTATTACATTTGGATTCAATTGGAAAGTCTTACCTGCAGTGGTAGAGTAATAGTGCATTAGACAGAAAATGTACCCAGTTTAGTGTGAGTATATGGAATTAAATATTACATCTACTAAAATTACTTGACCCATTCTGTTGGTGAATTTAAATTCCTGTCCCAAGAAACGGTAGCTTGCTCAGTTGGTTAGACTGTACTTCTGATACCACCTATATTGTGGGTGCAGTCAGTGTATGGGCCAGATTTTAATGGATCCTTTCAGAATCTAGCACCTTGCCTTACACGTAGAAGGTATTCATTAACTTGGTGATCTTTTTCTGTGACGCGTTTAAATTAGGTAAAAGCTGTTGATGTCAGTGTTCAGAACATGCTGTAGAGCCCACATTCTATCTATGATTTTAATTTCCAGGTTAGCTTTGTGAAAGAAGCCATCATGAAAGTGTTGAATTTGGCGCTCATGTTTGCGGATGGTTGGCAGGCAGGTCTAGGGGCTTGGAAGTAAGTATGTGGCTTGTGAAACATCCGTGTTGTCACCATTTTAGCTTCCCTTTTGACTGATTGCATTCTGGTAGCCTTTTTTTTTTCTTTTTCATCTTAGAAATATATACAGGCAGTCCTCACTATTTGCTGATTCTTTATTTGTGAACTTGCCTACTTGCTAAAATTGTCGTTTTTTTTAACCCCAAAATGAGTACTTGTAGTGCTTTCAGAGTCATTTGTGAACATGCTGTAAGAGCAAATAAAATTTGAAGAAAGACAAAAAGAGAGAGCCTTGTTAATTCTCCCTGTCGAACAAAAAAGAAAAAGACTTCCCCTTTCCCTTTTCTTAACATATTTACTTTAGAAAACTTGTAAGTGCTTTCTCTGCTTCTTTGAAATGTGTCTTAGTTATCTAGTGTTGCTATAACAGAAATACCAAAAGTGGGTGGCCTTAACAAACAGAAATTTACTCTCTCACAGTTTAGGAGGCTAGAAATCTGAATTCAGGGCACTAGCTCCAGGGAGAGACTTTTTCTCTCTGTCGGCTCTGGTGGTAGGTCCTTGTCATCAATCTTCCCCTGGTCTAGGAGCTTCTCAGCACAGGGACCGCGGGCCCAAAGGATGCTGTCTGCTCCTGGCTTTTCTTGCTTGGTGGTAATGGGGGCCCTCTCTCTTCTGTTCACTTCTGTCTTTTATATCTCAAAAGAGATTGACTAAAGATACAGCCTAATCCTGTAGATTGTGTCCTTCATCATTAACATAACTACCTCTAATCCTGCCTCATTAACATCATACAGGTTAGGTTTACAACAAATAGGATAATTACATCAGATCACAAAATAGAGGACAACCACACAATACTGGAACTCATGACCTAGCCAAACTGACACACATTTTTGGGAGACACAATTCAATCTATAATCCAAAATGTGTATAAATCTTTTTAAAGGCCTTTTGCCAATTTTACAACCCAGGAATGTTTCCTCAAAGACCTGGAAGCCATCTCTTAAATGTAATCCATCAAAGAAGATAGTGCCTCTGTCTCTCAGTTTCCTGGGAGGATAGGAGCCTAGCTTCAGCTGGCATTTGGCTCCAAGTTGCAAATTTACCTCTGGTCACAAAGATATGAGGAATTTTTCCCACTCTTTGGATAAAAGCAATTAACAAACACAGGAGGCTACCCGAGTTGCCAGGTGAATTTAGGATGCACTATGTGACAAATGGTGCTGTCAAGTCCTCTTAGTTGAAGACTCATTATTGTTTATCCTGAGAACATTTATGAAATGGGTTATATCTGCTTGGCTATATAAAGCGATAAAATTCCTTTCTGTCTTTGCAGTCTCTTCAGCAGATTCCTTATGATGTGTATCACGTTCTGGTTTAATGGTTATTCAGTAATAAAACTTGTTTCCTTTGTCTCCTACCTCTGTGGAGAGGTTTTCCGGGTTAGCAGGAGATTTTGTTTTTAATTATGCTTCCCCAGTCATGTGTAGAGTGGTGAACATTTGGAGTTGCCTAATGCACACCTTCCCAGCTGAGGCTGAACAAGGCAATGCCCTTCCTTCTTGTTTCAGCTCTCATATTGTAAATACATGTCTTTTTCATGGCCTGTTGAATGCCACATTTTTTGCATTTGTGTGCGTTTTGCTGGATTTTGCAGCACCTGTTTTAGGCCCCCAAGCATAGTGCTGAAGTGCTGTCTAGCGTTCCTAAGCATAAGACGACTGTGGTGTGCCTTCCAGAAAAAATAACATGTGTTGCATAGGCTTCATTCCGGCATGAGTTATAGTGGTGTTTGGCCATGAGTTCAGTGTTAATGAATCAACAACATATATTAAATAAGGCTTTGTGTTGATCAGTTGAAATTGTACTAAGTAGAGGCTTGCAGAAACCTAGCCTGTATTTCCCCTTGAACAATGACCCAGGATTTGTTAGTTCAGGGTCCATGGCGACTATGTATAATAATGCTTGATAAAGTAGAGGGTCAGCAAAAAAGAGGAAGACCCTCAACAAGATGGATTGACACAGTGGCTGCAACAGTGGGTTCAAGCACAACAACGATTGTGAGGATGGCGCAGGACCAGGCAGTGTTTCGTTCTGTTGTACGTAGTGTTGCTATGAGTTGTAACCCACTCAACAGCACCTAATAACAACTGCAAATAACAAGAATTGACTGTATCATCTACCACTTATATTTAAGGGAAGAGCTGAAGACTTGAATTTGTTCATGTGAACTAAATATCAAGAACTGTGAGATTCTTTTTTGAGAGAAGTAAAACAAGAAAAATCTAGGCTTTTAATTAGGACAAGCAAATATTAATTTCGTGTTTGATTGTATAGGTTTTCTTAAATTTTATTGTGGACACCTTCAAACATACATGAGTGGAGAGGATGGCATAAGGAATCCCCATGTACCACCTCATTCCACTTCACCAGTCAACAACATGGGACCAGTTCTATGTCATGTCTATCACCCCCCTCACACTTGGAAATTCTGGACATCATGCTAGATTATAGTCCAAAATTGTATTTTGGGTGAGCTCTAAAAGATACTGTGTATTTTTACTTTTTAGAGTGTTTGTTATTCACACCTGTCACATAAGAAGGTAAATGCCCTCAGCTCAGGTCACAGTTGAGGACCCAGGAGCTTTTTCCTTCTGGTTAGCAGTACAATCCTCTACTGTTAACTTGAATGTACAGCTCAATATTGTCACCCTGTATTGTTTAGAAAGTTAATGTAATGATAATTCTGCTATCCCTTCCCTAAAATAAAACTGCAAGTCTAGTTGACTGGGTTTCTCTGATAATAGCTTTTGCTTTGTTGATGTTAGTGCGAGCGACCCTCTGTACAACAGAATGAAACTGCCCGGGCCTGCACCATCCTCACGGTAGTTACTGTGTTTGAGCCCACAATTGCAGCCACTGTGCCAGTCTGTCTCATTGAAGGTCTTCTTTTTCACTGACCCTCTACTTTACCAAGCATGATGTCCTTCTCCGGAAACTGGTCTCTCCTAATAACGTCCAAAGTGAGCGAGAGGAAATCTCTCCATCCTCGTTTCTAAGGAAATTTCTGACTGTAGTTCCTCCAAGACAGATTTGTTCGTTCTTCTGGCAGTCCATGGTATCTTCAATATTCTTCGCCAACACCATAATTCAAAGGCATCACCTCTTCTTGGGTCTTCCTTATTCATTGTCCAGCTTTCTCATGCAAGTGAGATGATTGAAAATACCATGACTTGTATCAGGCACATCTTAGTCCTCGTAGTGAAATCTTGTACTTAGTCCTTGTCAGTAAGGAGGTGAGAGTTTTTTATAGTGCTAGTTCAAATTAAAATCTTTTTTTTTTAATTTTATTTATTTTGTTGTTGTTGGAATGTACACAGCAAAACATATACCAATTCAACTGTTTCTACATGTACAATCCAGTGACAATGATTACATTCTTTGAGTTGTGCAGCCACTCTCACCCTTCTTTTCTGAGTAGTTCCTCCCCCATTAATATAAACTCACTGCCCCCTAAGGTTCCTATCCAATTGTCATGGATTGAATTATGTCCCCCCAAAAAATATGTGTCACCTTGGTTATGCGATAATTCCCAGTACTGTGTGATTATCCTCCATTTTGTGATTGTAATTTTATGTTAAAGAGGATTAGGGTGGGATTGTAACATCCTTACTAAGGTCACATCCCTGAACCAATGTAAAGGGAGTTTCCCTGGGGTGTGGCCTGCACCACCTTTTGTCTTACAAGAGATAAAAGGAAAGGGAAGCAAGCAGAGAATGGGGGACCTCATACCACCAACAAAGCAGTGCCAGGAGCAGAGCACGTCCTTTGGACCTGAGGTTCCTGCACCGAGGTGCGCCCAGACCAAGGGAAGACTGTTTACAAGGACCTTCCTCCAGAGCCAACAGAGAGAGAAAGCCTTCCCCTGGAGCTGGCGCCCTGAATTCAAAAGCTTCTAGCCTACTGGACTGTAAGAGAATAAACTTCTCTTTGTTAAAGCCATCCACTGGTATTATTTCTGTTATAGCAGCACTAGATGACTAACGACAACAGTTTCCATTTAAAATTTTAAGCTTTGGGTGTATCAAAATCTGAATGAAAAATTAAGAAGATAGTAGGTAAATTCATAATTGTGGGGATGAAAATAGAGGTCTTATATGCTTTATTATTGGTGTCTCAAAGTGTATAAATGTTTTTTCACATAAAAAAAACTTGGCTAACTCTAATACTTACCATGCATTGTGGGATGGAGGAGAAAATAACACTACTTACTCTTCTCTAATATGCTTAAATATACCAAAGATTGTGAGGATGGAGCAGGACTCTGAACGTGTTGTTCAATTATACATAAGGTTACCATGAGTCAGAGCTGACTCGGTGGCACCTAACAACAACAACAAAGTATATGCTGTACTAAAATTGCACGGTTTCAGTTTCTTCAAATAAATTGTAAGAAAAAAGCGAGGGATGAGGGAAACTTAAGGATATCAGCTAATTGCAGTGTTTGGAACTTAAATGGATTCTGATTTGAACTTTAAAAAAAATACATGAACCCATGTGAAAATTTTGAACATTGACTTGTTATTTGATGATATTAAATAATTGTTAAATATTTTTCAGTGAGTGGTATTATGGCTATGTTTTAAAAGGAATCTTTATCTTTAAAGTGTACACAGAAATATTTATGGATAAAATGCTGTAATCTCTAAGATTTGCTTCTGAACAACGTGGTGGGAGTGGAGAAGGTATAAGTGGAGTTGGCTGCGGGTGGCTGATTGTTGAAACTGAGTGGTGGGCACATGAAAGTTCATTGTGTAGTTTTACATACCCTTGATACTTCCCATTATGAAAGTTAAAAAAAAAAATTCTATATTTAACCTATATACCTTTAATGTGTACTTTATTTCAAAAAGAACTTATGCTTGCAAAAAATTAAAAGGCAGAAATGTATAATGGAACTGGTTATCCTTGCTCCAGAAATAAATAGTATCCCAAATAGCAGAGTTTTATTTCCTAATGAATCTTTTTCTTAAGATGCTTTGAAATACTTATATTGAAGTAGTACAGGAAGTATTTTATTATCTTTAGACTTAGAATTTTTAATAATTAAACTAAGATATATTTGAAATTATTGCCATTTTGTATCCCGCCCGTTTACCTTATACACTTATTTAAATTGAAATTTATTTTCTTTCTTAGGATGGAATCTATAGAGAAAATGGAGTCTGATTTTAAAAATTGCCATATGTTTCTTGTAACCATTTTAAACAAAGCTGTCTGTAGAGGGTCCTTTCCTCATTGTAAGTACATCCTGTTAAAATATTACTACTGTTATATTTTCTTGTAGCTAAGTCTGTGTGTCATTTTTATAGTATTGATAGCATGAAGAATTAGGATATTTCACCATTTTTAAACCTGTAAAACCTCTTAGCAATTGTGCCATGCTTGGAATTTTCTTTTTTTTTTTTTTAGAATTACAATGGGTGACTGAATATCAAATGTAAAGCACTAAAACTAATGATCTTGTTTTCTAGAATAAAATTTATTACACCAGCGGATTTCTAAAAATTTTATTAAATAAACAGATGGCAGTATAAATGTCTGTAACATTTTATTACCATGCATAGCCTTTGTAACTATTCCTTTTCAAAAGATAGGATTTTTCTCAACAATTTTAAAACTCCCAAAGCTACCTCTTCTCATAAGGAAGTGTGAAGTTGAGAGTTCAGAGCACAGCCTGGAAAATAGAAAGGGCTGTGGGGTGAGTCATCAGGAGAAGAGGGAGCTGTTTAATCTGTAGAAATAAGGGACTAAATAGTATCTCTTTGCATAACTTGTTTTTGAAAAGTATGAAGAGTTAATCTGTACCCCATTTATGAATATTCATAATTGGATACACTTATTAAAAGTAGTTGAACACTTAAATAATATTGGTTAGAATTGTGTGAGATGAAACATTAATTTGTCCATTTTTGCATTGGGTAAGTGTTATGCAAGAAGATTACACTCACTGGTGAAACCTGTTGCTGTCAAGTGCATTCTGACGCATAGCGACCCTATAGGACAGAGTAGAACTGCCACAAATATTTCCAAGGAGCAGCTGGTGGATTTGAACTGCCGACCATTTGGTTAGCAGCCAAACTCTTAACCATTGTGCCAGCAGGGCTCCCATTCACAGGTTAGAACATGGCATTTTGTTATGAACTGACCACAGATTTTTTTGATGTATGGAACAGATATGATTTGTTCAGTGAGATGTCTAGATTTTTTTCTTTTAAAATTAAAGTTATCTGAATAAGATTGAATCTGATTTACTTTTTGAATTTGTATTTAATAAATTAAGGTTATCATCTTCGTTATACATTAAAAATAATCAGCATTTGGATTAAATTTTTTTTAATATTTTGAATTTTATTAAAACCTTATTCACACATTTTCCAATATTAAATCTATTTTTTAACCTTATTTTTATTTTTCCCACAGTGGAATCGCTAGCACTATCACTCATGGCTGGCATGGAACGAAGTTAAATATCTTAAAATACAATAAATTCCTCAAGAATTAATCTTCATACATTTCCATTTCAACCATGTGTAACTGAGATGTTGGAATCTTTTTATTTTGGTTTGTTTAAAAGCTGTTGTCCACTGTCTGGACAACAGACAGCTGTAGGTTTGTGTTTCCCCGGATTCTAGGGTTGTAAGTATTTTCTTTGGAGATGGTCGGCTAGTATATGTATATAAAACTGTATAAAAATACAAAGTGTATATAGGCTGTTTACACTTAAATTTCCGACTGTAAGCTAAAGATTTATGTTATTGATATCTTTGAATGTGAATTATATCATCTTTTGAAAATGTAATTGTTGATAATAAAAATAAATTACATTAAAACACTTTAAATGGTTTTATTCTTTTGCTGTTGTACAGAAATTTTTTATGTAGAGCTTTACACGTCATCTTCCCTAAAGATTATTTTATATTCAGTTACCTGAAAATTGTTTATATTTTTATGTACCTGGAAAGTTCCAAAATGGAAAATAGCTTTAACCAGTATCAGTAAACACAGAACGCTAACTTCACATAGGGCCAACTATTGGTACATACTATTGTTTGACATTTCTGAGCAATTTTTGTGAACTAACCAGTTATTTCTTAAATAAAATTAATGCTTAACATTCTGTGTTTCCACAATTTGATTGTAAACCGCTTGCCATGTCTCTAGCACTAATGATATTTACTACTTACTTTTTTTAAAAAACAACCCCTTTAGTTCCAAATAGTCCTCAGAGCTGAGCATTATGGCCCCTTTGCCCGTGGACACGATCTTGACCACCTTGCAGCATTAGGTTTATTGAAAGAGGATGTGGTGGGATTCACCACCCCTGCATTCTTCAAGTCCTCGATGATGGTATTAATCTCTGCAATCCCTCCAGGAATGCGGAATTGCTTTTGGTTTACTATTTTCCTGGGTAAGGACAGTTCTAACGGCTTCCATTTGGCTTTTCCTATCATAATAGCCAATACTCCATTTGTTAGGGATCCGATGTACGGGTTCTGCCAGTTGCTGAGTATATCTCTTATAATTATGTATTCTGGAACTGGGAAAATCACTACAGGATGGGTTCGGGGACCCACTGATCCTACTGTGAGACTGACATGAGCTAAGACTCCATTAACAACCTGACCTCCGTATGCACCCCCTCTGACTGGTGGGCCACAGTGAGATTTTGGGTCTCCTGGAATTAGTGTCAGTTCAGAGCCAGTATCCAGTAATCCCCGAAAAGTCTGATTATTTCCTTTTCCCCAGTGAACAGTCACCCTCGTAAAAGGCCATAGATCCATTTGGGTACGGCTGGGAGAAAGATTAACAGCATACATTTTTGGCAGTGTATTGGAGTCCTTCCTCAAGGGGACCCGACCACTCGTTCATTCAAGGGGTTGCATGTCTTTAAACTCACGCAGGTCTGGGAATTGATTGAAGGGCTGTGACTCTCTCTTCTGGTGATTCAAGTTAGACTGCTGTTCACTTGACCTGGAATTCATCTGCTTGTACAAATCAAGTAAATAGTAGATTTTCTATCTGTTTCACTCCGAGGGAAACCATGACTAAGTAGCCAATGCTGAAAGTCCGTATGAGTCAGACTATTGTGATTACTGCTTGGACTCCACTGTCCATTATGGTAATCACACCCACATTGCCTTTGTCGATTGAGTGCTGCTACTTGGCCCCTATTAGCATGGGCTCCAATCATCCCCATTGTAGTTAGGTGTCTTAGTTCAGTTAGGGCAGTTCCCACTGTCAAATCTGACTTACATAAAATAGCAATCACAGCAGTCTTCAAGGATGCTGGGGCTCCCTTCACAAATTTATTCCTCACAGTTGTGGTAAAGGGTGTGTCCTCCGGGCACTCCATGTGTGGGTCTGTGGGCCTAATCCACTCTAGCATGCCAATTTCCCTAAGCCTTTGGATACATTCTTCTACAGTATACCAAGGCAGGTCTGGTACTTCAACTTGATTTAGTGTTGGCCACCACATAATCCATGCTTCAGCAACCCAGCCAAATAAGCTATTAGATCCTTTCCTAACTTCTCTAGCTGAAACACTGAAGGAACAGTCTGTGCTCAGTGGACCCATATCAATAAACTCAAACTGATCCATCTTTACATTCCTCACACCAGTATCCCACACCCTTAATAGCCATTCCCACACATATTCCCCAGGTTTCTGTTTGTACATATTAGAAAAGGCAAGCAGTTCTTTTAGAGTGTAGCATACCTCCTCCTGGGTCACACTTTATACTTCACCTTTTGAGGCTTGCTGGAACTTAGGTCTAGAAGCCAAAATAGGTAGCGGGGAAGTGTTTTGAGAACATTCAGCATTGTCTTGTAAAGCATCCGCCTCAGGAGATGCCCTAGGCAATGACTCAAGACAAGGGCTCTTTAGATGCACCTGGATCAATCTTATTAGATGGGAGTGGAGGGGCTAATGGTTTTACTGGGGAGGGTGACTTAGCAGAAAAACCTGCAGTAATGTCTTCAAATAGGAGTGAGAGGGCTGGTCCTGTTGGCAGAAGTGATTCAACGGAATTTAGAGGCTCAGTGTCCCCAGCTTCCTGATTACTGCCCATATCTCCCCATCCCAAGTGTCAGGATCCCGTTTCCTCCCAATCAACGCCCTCACTTTAACTTCAGACACCTCTCAAGGTTGGCAACTGAATTGGCATTGTAATTCAACCACTCTTACAATAAGATTCTGGGTTTGGTTTTTGGCAATATCAACTCTTACTACAAGAAATAACACTTTCTTTCAAAGTACAAGTGGAAACTTTGAGGTCGTTTATGCGACACTTGAGCTTTGACTCTGAAGCCCAGAGCTTCTCTCTTTCTTTCACCAGTTTGTCTAGCAAAAATAGGACCAAGCAACCAGCTTCCTTATACTTCTCATTACGACAAATTGTAGAAAGGTATCACACATGCAATCACCCAGAGCCTTGCCTTTATCCAATACCTGATTTATTGGTGATGATATTTTGCCTATTTGTCTTGCCACCTCACACTATGTGCCCTCTTTACTGCTGGAAGCAGAGTTGTCAACATCTTTAAAACTAACCACACTTGAGAACCAATTTAGAAAACTCATCCTTACAATTTTGTTTCTCTAGAACAACTCTCGGTACCAAATGTCTTAGGCTGGGTCCTCTAGAGAAGAAAAACAAGTAAAGCGTATAAATGTATAGAGAGAGCAGTTTATATCAAGGAAATGGTTCATGCCATTGTAGAGGCTGGAACGTCCCAAGTTTGTGGGTCAGGGTAGAAGCTTCTTCTGATTCACGTAGCCACAGGGCTGGTGAACCCAAAATTGGCAGGTCAAAGAGCAGGGCTCTTGCTCACAGGCAGCAAAGATAACAGACAAGACCACAGGTAAGCTGCTAGCACAGGTCCCAAGAACAGGAGGTCAGATGAACAGGAGACAGCTGCAGGATCCGGCATGAGCAAAAAACCCACGAGCCTTGCCAGAATGCCCACTTATGTTTGATGTAAGCCACGTGCCCAAGGAAACTCCCTTTCAACTGACTGGCTACTCACAGCAGATCCAATCATGGAGGTGATCACAACATCATATGATTGCCAAACCACTGAGAATCATGGCCCAGCCAAGTTGACACACAGCCTTGACCATCACAGTCCAGGTGTGAGGATTTTTGTTTTCTTTATGTTGAGGCATAATCCATACTGAAGGCTGTGGTCTTTGATCTTCGTCAGTAAGTGCTTCAAGTCCTTTTCACTTTCAGAAAGGAAGGTTTGTCATCTGCATATCGCAGATTGTTAATGACTCTTCCTTCAATCCTGATGTCGGGTTCTTTGTATTGTCCAGCTTCTTGAACTATTTGCTCAGCATACAAATTAAAAAAGTATCATGAAAGGATACAACCCTGACGCACACCTTTCTTGACTTTAAACCACGCAGTATCTGCTTGTTCTTTTCAAACGACTGCCTCTTGGTCTATGTACAGGTTCCTCATAAGCAGTTAAGTGTTCTGGATTTCCCATTCTTTGCAATGCTATTCATAATTTGTTACGATCCACACAGTTGAATGCCTTTGCATAGTCAATAAAATACAGGTAAACACCTTTCTGATATTCTCTGCTTTCAACCATGACCCATCTGACATCAGCAATGATATCTTTTGTTCCATGCCCTCTTCTAAATCAGGCTTGAATTTCTGGCAGTTCCCTGTCAATGTACTGCTGCAACCACTTTTGAGTGACCTTCAGCAAAATTTTACTCGTGTGTGATACTAATGATACTGTTTGATAATTTCCACATTCTGTTGGATCACCTTTCTTTGGAATGGGCACAAATATGGATCTCTTTCACTCGGTTGGCCATGTAACTGTCTTCCAAATTTCTTGGCATAGATAAGTGAGCATCTCCCGGTCTGCATCCATTTGTTGAAACGTCTCAAATGGTATTCCGTCAATTTTTGGAGCCTTGTTTTTCTCCAATGCCTTCAGTGCAGCTTTGACCTCTTCCTTCAGTACCATAGGTTCTTGATCATGTGTTACCTCCTGAAGTGGTTGCATGTTGACCAATTCTTTTTGGTACAGTGACCGTGTGTTCCATCTTCTTTTGATGCTTCCTGCGTCGTTTAATATTTTCCCCCATAGAATCCTTCAATAATACAACTCAAACCTTGAATTTTTTTCTTCATCCTTTCAGTTGGAGAAATAGCCAAGCAAGCATGTTCTTCACTTTTGGTTTTCTATCTTCAGGTCTTTGTACGTTTCATTATAATACTTTGTCTTCTCAAGCTGCCCTTTGAAATCCTCTGTTCAGCTCTTTTACTTCATCATTTCTTCCTTTCGCTATAGCTACTCTATGTTCAAGAGCAGCTTTCAGAGTCTCTTCTAACATCAGTTTTGGTCTTTTCTTTCCTGTCTTTTTAATGACCTCTTGCTTTCTTCATGTATGATGTCTTTGATGTCATTCCACAACTCGTCTGGTCCTTAGTGTTCAATGCATCAAATCTATTCTTGAGATGACCTCTAAATTCAGGTGGGATATACTAAAGGTCATACTTTGGCTCTAGTGGACTTCTTATTTTCTTCAACTTCAATCTCAAGTTGCATATGAGCAATTGACGGTCTTTTCTGTTCTGCAATCAGCCCCTGACCTTGTTCTGAATGATGATTTCAAGTTTTCCGTTGTCTCTTTCCACAGATGTAGTTGGTTTGATTCAATTTGAGTCGACCTTAATGATGTGGATAGAGTCAAGCTTTCAGGACCTTCATTTGCTGATGCGGCACAACTCAGAATGAAAAGAAATGACTGCAAATATCCATTAATAATCGGAATGTGGAAGGTATGATGTATGAATCTAGGAAAATTGAA